GGACACCGTCAACTGGGCAACAGCGAGTGTGGGTAGATATCATTTATCTTTTGAGACTTTTCTATTTACTTGTAAAAATAAATAAATAATGTAATTTGTATCTCATTTTTTATGTTATGCAACAGTTTCTAGTAACTCAACATAAATTCCTTAATTTCTCTCCAAAATCTTTGAGAAATAAATAAATAATGTAATTTTTCTCTCATTTTTTATGTTATGCAACAGTTTCTAGTAACTCAACATAAATTCCTTAATTTCTCTCCAAAATCTTTGAGAAAAGGAATACTTTACATAATGTAAAGTTTTGAAACTATCCTTCAGAATGAATTTAAACTTAGTTGATCTTGACTAGATCTTACACTATCTTACACTAAATCTGATCTTACACTAAAATGATGAAATACAATTTTTTTTTTTCAAATCACTTGAAATCAAAAGACAAATTCTTCTGTGACTGATCTTCATTTCCACTTTTTTGATGATTGGATTTCTGACAATCTCAGATTTTTGCTCAGGATTAAGAAGATAGTACTGTATTCCCAATCTATGTATGTTCTTAATGTATGGGTAATTTATTAAAGGTGAAAAAGCAACTATCACTACTGTTTCTTCTTCTCACAAATGATCTAGTATTTGAATTTTTGTCTTTGAGGGATGCCTTTGTTATATTCTTTTTGTTTACACTATATTGCTGATTTTTAAGAAGAAAAGAATAATTAATTGACATCTGCTTCTAAAACGTAATACTTGCATTCATAATGCACACTAGTTAATGTAAAACGTCTATCATTCAATGTACAGTACGTATATGCCAAAGTAACTCAAAGAAACTACAAGATAGATGCACTAGCATGATTAACAGTCAACAATACAAATAACATTAGAAGTTTAAGATAAAATTAAAAGTTTAAGTCATTTTTAATGCATTTATCTCTTTATTCATTATTTTTATTAATTCATTATTCTTTTGTGAATAAGCAAATTTTAGCTTTGTAAAGATGAAAAAATGGTTACAAATATTGAACAAAGCTCTATTCATGCAATTTTGTACAATCAAATGATAAATTTTATGTCTGCCACCAAAAAATATAAATCTGAATACATGGACTATTTTTTTAATTAAACAGATTTTGTTAATAATGGAAATATTTTTTCTTCATGTCAACTTAAATACTATTCTGTTCCAAATATTTGAAAAATTCTAAAATTGACTTTACACATCTTCAAAGTTTTATATACATTCACCTTCATACTGTGATAACATAGCTAATTATTGGCATTGACATAGTGATTGAATAATATATTATCTTGAGTAAATTGACTTAGGATACATTTATAAAAACACAAGTTACACAAGAAAGACAATGTTGTTATTCTTTCTTTAATCCACAATTTATACACTTGAGTAAATTTAGAAACATCAATATCATCAGGTGCCATTTTCTTCCTGAGGTGTACTATCTTTCTATTCATAAATTTCATTAAGAGTTTCATTTGAATCATCACCAATATCAATCATGTGCACCGAGTAGAAATATTACTTTATGACCAACTCATTTGGACCCTTTGTTACAAAAATAATTAAAGACAGCATTGTTATGAAACCAGAAAATTCTGCCTTTCTTTTTTCTTCCTCAGGATAAGCAGAAAGAGGAGGAAAATGTCAGAAGAATTTCTTGGTTTCACAGTCTCTGGCAGTGGACAGGAAAAGCTTCAGAGCGGTCATTAATGTTAGCAACCAATATATAGTTCTGAGCCAACTTGATTGTTGACATCACAAAGGATATAGCAGAAGAAGAGCATTATATTTGAAAGTCAAATGTATTAACAAATATTTATAAATATATTTAATCTAGTAATTATAGAGCTTTAATGTAATCATTTTAATTACCAAAAATGTTTAAAAAAATCAGCTAATTTATAATAAATTATTTTATTGAAAAAAAAAAGTGATTCATAAATCAAATGAATTAGACAAAGTTATTAAAATCTCAGTCTTTATTGCCTCATTTAGATAACAAATAACATTTTAAAGACATTTTATTAAATAACTTCTTATTTATTAAACAGTACTATTCAATAGCATAATAATATGAGAGTCAAAAATAGAATTAGTAGAATTACTTCTGAAGATCAAAAAAATATGGCAGAAGTGGTAAAGGCATTATCCTACCACCTCAAGGAACCTAGATTCAAATCTGGGTTGGAACTCTTGAGTCTGGCTGTCCTGTTGTGAGCTTTGCCAAAGTCATAATAAAATCTTGCTCACAGAATGAAAAGAGTAAGAAAAACTTTTCTTGCAAAATCAACACAAACTTTTTATTAAGATTAAGATTATTTAATAAACTAAATTTATAAATAAATAAAATATATCACTGTAGATCTAGTTCTCATTTTTAATAAGTTAATTCCCTTTATAATATTAACTATAATGACATAATTAATTTACAAAAGAAAATATTTCATTAATAAATTATTTTAACAATAAAATTCCTTTTGGTATAAACGCTATACATATCTATGTTTCTGTTTTGGTTTTAACTAGCTATCATTGACACATTGTATTTTTATATACAGTGTGTCTGAAAAGTTATGCAGTGAGAAATCTGTAATGACATTAAAGTTGCATGTCTTGTGTTTCCACTTTGTAGTGTTCTACTGCTTGCTCACAGATGTTCTGGTTTTTAGAAGACTGCCAATTGCATAATCTTGTGGAATCTGGCCTGCTAGGTCTGCACACCTCATTCCTCCAAATTTTGGGACATTGGGGACATTTCTAGTATTTGCCATAGGAGAAACTGCAATATTGTATGTAACTTTACTTAAATCTTTTCTAGACACAGTAACTTTTTGGACACACTGTACAGTACATATGTTTTCATATATACTCCTGGCTAAGTAAAATGTAAAACCATGATCGACTATAGATATTGAAACAATGGAAGTTTCTTTCATGGTATTGCATTTAGCTTGGCCAAAAGTGTATATTATATCTACATTAATTAATCTATCTCTGAAGATATTATATTCAAGTAAATATGTTAAATTTTAACTTATTTTGCTACATCAACATTGCAATTGTATTAAATTTGTTTAAACAAGAATATACAGGAAGTCTCTTAAAATACTCTACTTTGCATTTTATTTAAAATGATTAGATAATTTAAATAAAAATTCTTTAGGAGAAGGCTGTAAATTATAAATATTAATTCTTCAAATATCTTATAAAGTATTTATGTTTATTAGAATATACAAAAATAAATAAGGAAGCTATATTGAAAGATATAAATACAGCTATTGCCTCTTAACATGTTCTGCTTAAATATATTTCAAAGATCATTATTGTAACATTTACATACATCTAAAAGATATTAAACTTTGCTGTAACAATGAATTGCAACAAAGAACTTATTATGAAAGTATTAATCTGATATAAAAAGTTGGAAATAAAAGAATGTAACGCTAAGAAATACTGGAAAAAAAGAAAAGTAATAGAGATATTTATGAGATGATTGGAAGATCAAGTATAAAGAATACACATGTCTAAAACTCAAGGATGAACATAATTGCTAATGGTGATAGCTAGGAAAAGTCATGATGAGCTTGCTGTAACATTGTGAGTACTGATTCATCATTATGGAATATGTTCACTCCAAAAGTGAACATATTCCATAATAACAAGTGTCTGCTTGGGTATTAGTAAGCACTTTCTATCCATTCTCCATCTACAACTAAGGCCAAGACTCCACTACCATAAAAACGGTGTAAAACCCCTCGCCATAAAAGCTTTTACGGCGAGGGGTTTTACACCATTTTTACAATAGTGAAGTCTCAGCCTAACTGCTGTATCTTTTTCATCAAAGACTTACTTTTATTGCTTTGATTTATAAAATCTTACAAGTTGTGTATTACTCTGTGTTAGGTGTCAAGTAAAACAGTTCTTGCTGTATTTGTCTGCATTCGTCTACAGTTCTCTCTATTTGAGTATAAATGTCATCCATCCTTAAGTTTTGGACATGTGTACTTTTAGAAAAGCTCAATTGATAACAGTAATATAAATACAAACCGGAAAGAAATGAATTCTATATTCTAAAGAAATAATTATCATACAGGAATATCTAGTGATATAGGAAAAGCATAAATAATTTCTTCATATTTGATTACCTTATCTTAATATTCTTGTGATAGCTCTTTTTGACAAAACTATTTCTTCTGGAGTCTATAATCATCCTGTAAGAGTTGCAAGCCATGCCTATATGAATAAAAATCTGAAAGAAGTCAGGGGCATGACTTCAGAAGTGACTGTTCATGACATATTCTTCTCCAAAGATTTCTAACATCCCTTCTAGTCAAGTCAAAACAATTAAAAAGAAGTGCTAATTTTTAAAAAATTTCAGCAAGTGATTGAGAGGAAATTATAAATAATTTAGATTTAGTAGAAAGTTTTGTTTTGCTAGAGTATACCACATGACACTGGTTATGTATTGTTAGTACACATTATATAAATTCATGTCAGTATTATATCTTGTAACATACAAGCATTTTTAGTTATTCTTGTAGAGGAAAATACAGTAGAGCCTTGATTATCCGACCTAATTGGGGACTGGGGTTGGTCGGATAATTGAAAGGGCAGATAACCGAAAAGTATGAAAAAATCTATTATTAGTATAGTATATTATTATATCCCATGTAATTAGTATATTAGTATATCGCTATTAACCTACTTTGCGTTGAATTTTCATCGATGTTAAGCCTAACAAAAATTTTTTAAAATAATAATCGTCGCTATTGTATCGTTAAAAATTAGAAAATTAAGCCTCGTTTAAATACTGGCTCCCTTTCATGGTCGAATGAGTGTTGCCAGCTAAAACACGTAAAAATAATATTAAAGTAGCCAAGACATAGCCAAATATTGTAGCGCCACATCAATAGCGGACATTTGAAATTTGCCGACTAGGACGGTCGGTTAATCGAGGGGTCGGATAATCGAGGCTCTACTGTACTAGAATTTAAATATTACTTTAGGACATTAATAAAGAAGATAATAAAAAAACATGATCTGATAAGCATAATTACAATTCAGACAAACATACAAGCTAATTTGAGGATTTCTGTTTTTTTTTTTTTTTTAAATTATGTAGCATTTATTCCAATTTTTTGTTTTTGCTGTTGATGAGCTTTATAAATTTTTGAAAACTTAACAAATGAATAAACTCTTCAGTTAAGGATGATACAAACTGCAAAACTGTCTTGCAGTGTTGTAAGCTTCTATTTCCTTTTATTGAACAAAGGACCCCACAGAAACCTCATGGGAAATAGGTCCTGGTGATTTGCTGAATCTTTGATATTTTGTAGTTCTTATAGTCCAATTAAAAGTCTCTTTAGGCATAAAGTCAAAAAATGAGCAGTTTTTGAATTATCAAGCATTCAAGTAAAAAAGTTTGATTTTTGCACATGTAAAGCTCTAAATCTTTTTTCTTTTAAAATGTATAATGATATTTTTTTCAAACATTATTGATTTTCAGCACATTATCTCAATTTCCATATGGGAATCATTCATTACATGATACATTAATAGTTTAATTCTCATGCTGTTTTTGTTCATATTGCACTAGTAGATACAGCATGCTCCTGCTATACTATGGACACCCTTCTTGTAAGGGACTTCCCCACCAAGACTTGATAACAGCTGAAATAGAAATAGTCTAATATTTCATCTATGTGAGATGAAATAAAGGAGAAAAAAATTGATAATTCTTCCTTATTAACATTATTAACTTCCATAATTTTGAAATAGTTTGATATGGCTTTCAAAAATCATTTCCATTATTATGTTTGCAATGAAGCATTTCTTCCACAGCAAATAGCTCAAACAGATGGAAATGAAAATGCTGACAAATGTAACAATGCTGTTCAAAGAAAAATTATGCTGTTTCTTAGCAAATGTATTTTGGGCACTTCATAACTCAGGTTCTAGTTTTTGACTGTGTCCAGGAGACTATCAGGACCACTACAACTATAAAATATCAAAGATTCAGTCAAATCCCACAGGACCCATTTCATGTAAGATTTCTGCAGGATCCTTTTAAGCTGTTTAAAATATAAAAATATATTTCTTGCAAGTACTTTCAATAAAATTATAGTATCATCATCGGTAATTAGAATAAGCTAATAGAATAAGAATATCAAGTGTTTCACTTTAAATTAAACATGAAAACTTGAATGTGCTAAACTTGTAATAATTATACAAAACAAAATATAGTAATTTATGTTAACAACATTTGTAGAAATATTTTAATTTATTGTATTTTTATTAATTTATTTTATTTATTATATTATTGTAATTCTTTAATTTCTTCATTGTATTTTTTTGAAAAACATAATTACATATGAAATTTATGACAAAGTTTAAAGGAACATACATGTACTGTACATAGTCAATGTACATATTAATTGACAAACCTTGTAATCAATTTGTCTTCAATTCTTCTAAAGCATTGAACTTCCCTTATTAAAAAGATTTAAATAAGGTATAAAATCCAATACCCTAGAAGAGTCATGGATAACTGATTACAATGTTTGTCAATTTGTATATACTGTATATTATCTCCCAAATGAATATTTGCCCTGAGTCCAGACATATTTACAATAATTGCACATATACATAATTAAAAATTTCTATATATAACACTTCAAGCTACTTTAATAGTTTTTTTAGTATACCTAATACTCTGATGTACATAAATACAATACAATTCTAGTTGTTGCTCCTACATATAAAATGTATATTTACCTCAAATGCAGAAACATGTCTTGAGGTAAATACTCATTTAGGAAACACTATAAATATTAATTATCCTTAGCAAATATATGAAATTTTAAGTTGTTTGTTTCTCTAAAGTTGTAACTGCAAGATAATTTTACAATATTTAATAGTAAATATATTGGCATGTGTCATTATTCTTTTTTCTTAACTACAGCTAAACGTTGTAACACTGATAATTGATATTATTAGCCATTATTTTTTTACAATTAAAGATATTTTAACAACTTCATCAATTAAAGTTATCTATAAATGTTTTTCATCCTGTTCAATAATTAAAAACATTCAATAAAAAAAAACATTCAATAAAAAAAACATTTTAACAATGCATTTTATCACAGAATATTATTAAATAATTTAACAGAATAATTAAAAATAAATACTCAAATAAAATACTATTCTTTTTCTTCGGATAATTTCTTGACTAAATTCTCGTATGCAGTTAGGAGATTTACACTGCTCAGTATTGCTTTTTCTCGTAATTGAAGCTCGTCAAATTTTCTTTGTGAAAGAGTTAAGTCATTCTGAAATTATATATAAAAGGAATTTCATTACACTTATGATGATTTATTGTTACTTAATGATTTTATTTACCTCTTTGTCTTGTTTGAATTTACTTTTTTCAACTTTTGGAATAATTCCCAAATTGCCTAATTTATATTTTGGTGGAATGTCTTTCTCTTCAAACCACCTGCAAAATAGTTTAAATGCTTAATGAACATATAATTTTTATTAACATAGTATGGTTATTAATACAGTATGCTGTTTATTCAATTTTTATTTTAAATTGCAATGCCTTGTGGCAAGGCATTGAACTAATCAGTATTCATTTTTTCAATAGTTTGAAAGGCCAAGTGTAAATGTCTTCAAAAAATATCTTGAAAAACTAAAAAGGAGTGATTTTTATAAATATTTATATACTCGTGGAAATTCTTCTAGAGCTAATGTAAAAATACTGATTTGCAAGAGCAACTGCTTCTTGATATATATTGTATTTATATGTGTTAATAGCATGCAGATTATAACATGTAGCCTACATTAATAATAAAAATTATAAAGGAGCAATATGTTATAGACTCCCAACAAAAATTTATGGGTGCACTACTGGTATTGTTGAACTTACAACAATCTGTGTATGTTGTAAGATTTGATTTGCTTATCAAGTTTTAATTGGATTGGATGATTGGCTATATGAGATATGGCAATGCAGTACATGGGTGATCTGTCAAAGAGGAATCTATGATATCTATGGGAAACTGACTTCTATTTAGGAGTTACACACATGAAGGAAACCCAGCTACCCTGTTGGTGAGGTGCAAATCTGCCACCAACTAACAGTGTTCATGGTGTTATCCACTAGCTGGCATAAGTTTTAATTGTAATTTTATAATAAAAATTTAGATTACCCAATACCAATCCTACTGGCACTTCTGGAAATTTTCCAACTTTCTGATAGTCACATCTGCTCCTGTTGTTTTTATTTCAGATGAGTCATCATAAACACTGAGATTAAAAGTCTATGAAAAAAGCTACTGACACTGTAAAGTACAAAGAAATAGGGTACAAACTAGCAGAAAAATCCATTAATATGTCTTGTTCTATTCTCAAAGACTATACCAAAAAGCCAGAGAAAATTGTAGAACAGTACATAGACAACAACTTAGAAAATTAGAGGCCTTATTCTGATCATTGTATCTCATCTTTGATGCAATGTCTATGTCATAATCTGGTCACTCATTGGCCAAACATTTGTTTACATCTTGAGAGATCATCTCTCCACAAATATGATTCTTAATGACTTTTTCTCTCAAAGATTATCTTGTTTTCCAGAGACAAGCAGATAGTTGTCTTTTGATCAGTCTTTCATCATATCTTCGATTTTGTTATATCCAACATGGATGACAAGATGCTACTATGCTAAATAATTGTATTAGAGAGTGTTCTCTATCTCAGGAAAAAATATTTTGAGATAGAGATTGTGAATTTTTTAAGTGACTACTTTATATTTCACTTGGAAATGCCACTAACTCCATTCTCAATCTAATGATTCTACAGCATATCAATTACTGAATCATTGAATATGCTGTTAATTTTATCTGTTACTTCCAGCCATATATCTCTATAAGTATTTTTTGAGATATTGCCATCTAATTTGTTTAACTAAGCATGCATGTTTTCTAACTAACTTAAGTTAATAAAATTTCTATTTATTAAGAGACATTATCCAAAACATTTTGACATTACAATCTATAAAAATATTACAGAACAAACAGTCATTTGCTTTCTAAAAACAGGCCTACTAGTCTTGTTATATAATACAAGTTTAATTTCAGAAAACAATTTAGTAAATTTACTACATCATAAATATGGTTTATTTATTATTTATAAGGAATTGTATTTTATAAAATAATTACTTACTTTTGTATTTCTTCAGCTGGTACACCATGTGAATGTAAAAAATCAAAATAATAATCGTTATAAAATTCATGAGAACTTTCAAGCAGTGTATGTAAGCTATGTAATAAATCATATCTCTTTTGGATAAGTAGTTCTTTCTCTTCCTCATTTTTTGGAGTGTGCTAAAAATTAAACATAAATTAAATATTTAATTATTATTATTAATAAATAAAACTTTATAAACAAATATTACCATAGTTGCTTCCTTAATTGCTTTTGCAGCTTTTAATATAATAATAATTAGCTTAACATTAGCTTCTTCTTGCATTTTAATTTCATTTTTGTAGAATTCCAATTGCTTATTTATATCAGTTATATTGGTAGACATGGATGTAACATTTACAGTTAATTCTTTAATCTGTAAATAGTTAATACTAAATAAGAATATACAAATATACAAACAGAACAGATATGAAGCAGAGAGCAAGTATCGTTTGCTCTCTGCTCCATGATGCTATCTATCTTAGCAAAACAGTGGAAGATTTCCCACCACACTTAGCTTAGAACTATGTGGTGTTTCCAGATTACAGAATATGAAACACAGTACTGAATGCATGCATGTTTTGCTACTTGGCATTTGTGTATTGGTTAGTATAAGATCTATCTCATTATTTGTTGGACCTTGAGAATAAATTAATAATTAGATGTTTATTTTCTGAAAAAAACTTTTTTACTTTTTCTTAAATTATCCTTTAATTTATCATCTATGTTTCAAAACTGGAGTCATCTATAATTAAAGAAAAATTAACAAAAAATATATTTTATTATACCTTAAGACTGAAATTTTGATATGAATAGGGAAGGCATTCAAAAAGTTCCCAGAAAATGTAAATAAAAAGACAGCAAATTGATTTTAGCATTTTATTTTTCAACATATGTTTCACTTAAGTTAAAACATTTTTCCATGTTTCACTGCCTTTATGGTAGAAATCTGTTCACTTTGATTCTAGCCACTGAACTACAAAATGTTTCACTTTGATTCTAGCCACTGAACTACAAAATGTTTCACTTGATCTATCAACTACCAATGAACATCTTTAATGTCTCTTTTAAAATTTTGAATAAGAAGTGTGACAGTGCTAGATCTAAACTATAGGAAGGGTTGGCAAACCTTAAACTGATATTCATGCAGAATGAGCTGATGCATTATTGTGATGGAACAAGAACATGCTAATGAATTTTTCTCGATAATGAAGTATCTTGCAGCACTGTCATGAACACCTGATAAAACAAGTCTCAAAAAGTTTATGCTTGCATAAATTAATTATAAATACCCATATAGCTTTCTGTTTACAAATAATATAACCAATCCCTGGAAACTTTTTGAATGCCCCTTGTAAAATCCCTAAACAAGTAACATTGTAAATAATAGATTTTATTTTAAGTTTACTATTTATTAATTTATTAAGTAGTAGAAATTTAATGCTATCAAATTTTTAATTATAGCAATTATTAAAGTAATTGAATTGAACTGAATAATTAAATACTGAGACCTGCAATTTGGATGTTTCTTCTTGTTTAAGTAACCCCTCGTAACATTTTTCTATATTTTTTAATTTTTCCAACAAATCCTTCTGTTGAACACATTTATTCTTCAAAAGTATGATTGCCTGTAATTTTTTTATCATCATTAACAAATTATTCTCACAAATTAATAACTTTTTCGTCAGGAAGCAAAATCTAATTATAATGAGGAATTTATTATTATGTAGAAAACAGAATTTAAAATTTTTTCTACAAATTCTAATATACGATTTAACATGATCAGTTTAATAATCAGTTTATCAAATATAAGCTGTTCTTATTTAATGTGCTTATTTATTGGTGCTCATTATTATTAATATTATTATTATTATTAATATTATGTGCAAATATCATTTCATTTTATGCATTACCTTTTGTTGAGCATCAATTTTAGAAGCTAATTTACTTTCTGTAGTTTCAGAAATGCTCAATTTTTGTTTTAATATTGAATTTTTATGTTTTAATACCTCATTTTCTTTTGTAAGTTTCATTGTCATTTCAGTATTATCATATAATTCCTTTTTAAGTTTTTTTATTTGTGAAAATGCTGTTTTAATTGCATATTCAGTCTGTTCATCTGAAAAATAATATTCTTTCTCTGCTTCTTGTTTCTCTTCATATTCTTTCTTAAGTCTAATTGACAATAAAGCAGAAATTAAATTTTCAATTTGGTTAATAGAAGATATAGACACTGAAATGTAATGTTACTTTATACAGAAATAAAAATATCCACAGTTGTTCAATAAACAAAGCATTTTATTCCACAATTAAATCCTCGTTGTGATTGATATTCTATATTTGTATCTCATATATAAGAAAACTGTATGCCTCATTGAAGTGCTTACATTAAACTATTGAATTAATCAATGCACCTTTCATAGGGGATGAAGTTGAGGGAATGCTAACATTTTCAACCCAGTTAACAGCCATTTCAGGTACAAAGTTGAACATGGAGTGCCAGTATTGGTTAGGAAGAAAGTATTTTATTATATGAAACCATTAGTAAATGAATTTAAAATATTCAAATTTTTGAATAAATGAATTAGTGCTTCAATAAAGCATACAGTTTTGGCAATATAAATAATCTTTGAAACATTACTATCTTAATTAATAAATAAAAAATTGGCACACCTTTTATGATCTAAAGCATATTGCTGTTGAAGATTTAAGATCTTTTCTTCATAATTCTCAACTTCTTGTTTGTAGGTACTTTTCAATTTTTCGTGTTCTTTATACAAATTCTCTTTTTCACTTTCAAATTTTTCTAAACTTGCAAGTTTACCAGCTGAAAACATACAATTTTTTAGTTTATTATTAGAGAAATTTCATAATAATAAACTAAACTTCATGTAAAATTTATATTTGTATCTCAAAATTTTAAAAATTAGATATTATATAGTAAAATGTGTATGATAATTATGCAAAATGTATAATATAAAATTATTTAAATTGATAATTTAGACTGTTTATACTATTTTTGAGCACAGATATAACTTGCTATCCTTTATAAATAAATAAACATCCACAAACAAAACCTTTTTTATCAGTGTTGTATTTGACACAAAACCTACTAACGTTTTTGGCCTCCACCAAGGTCTTCTTCAGGTGTTGAACTAACTGGCATCCCCCTTGGACCATTAGAACGATGCCGCCCGAGTTATAAACATTGCACATATCATATTTCACCCCCTCCGCCTGTCTCTGTTCCAACACTGATAAAAAAGGTTTTGTTTGTGGATATTTATTACTCAATACAGTGTTAATATTTAGAAGACGTTTATTTTGTTTTATAAATAAATTTTGCAATTTATATTCCTGATGCTATTTTAATCAAAAGAAATTTAAATTGCAAATACTTTCATCTGATTTCAAAGCAGACTTCTTTCGGCAATCTTTTGAAAGATAAGATATTTAGATATTTTAAATATAATTTAATCTCATTTCATATCAAAATTATTACTATGTTTCATTTCTTCCTTGTTTTTAACATTCACATTCATTTATAATGTCCTGCTTAATGTAATATAAATGATTTTAAAAAATAAATAAGGTATGGGAGCCCATTATGTGGGCTGTAATGGCTTCCCCTACCTTAATTATAATTGTCAAGCTCTGTCCTTCACTACAGGCCACCTTTGTTGTGGGCCTGGCCGAACCCACGATGAGTGTAATTTTAAAACTTTTGGAAAATGTTTTTCAGATTATGATTTTTTTTCTCTATGGGTATTAAGAAACTCTAAACTAAATTATTTATTATTAATTTCTTTCCATTTTTGACTCTCAGGCATTATCCTGTGGACAAAAAGAGCAATTGTCTGGGGTCCCACCAACAGGGGATCTCAAATCAATCTTTTATAAACTCATTACTGTAGCAAGAGTATCAAAATTTAAATTTGGCCAATNGATAATATAGTCTAAAGAATATGAAATATGGAAGAGATGATAAGTTCTGTTAGTAATTCATTTATACTGGGCTCCTGCAGATTTTGGTGAAGAGAAATAGAGTAACGACTTATTTCCCTGAAATAATCAAGGCATATTCAATATGATTGAGGTCAGGGGAACGAGTTGTTAGCCTCAAGGAACAATTCGACCAGTCTAGTTTGGTAAGGACGGGTATTGTTACCCTGTACTTATAGCACCCTCATAACACTTGACAAGATAATCAAGGATTTCAAATTCTATATCTCCGAGCATTTGAGAAACCGGTGCACATTCAATTTTGTGAGGCTATCCAAAATTACCAATCTAACCCGTTCTTTTGGGTTGATTTTAATGATAATAGAGTCATCATAACTTTGTCAGATAAACTGACAATGTATAGGGTGTTTATACCAGCAAAATGGAACATTATGAAGAACGAGCTGATCGGGAATCCGTGATATAAGGCCTATTCAATGTCGTCTAGAAATATTTAGCAGTCTAAATGCAACTAAATTCAGAGAGTATGAAAGACATTTCCATGAAAACTATTAGAACCAAAGCTCGCCGCGATGGCACTCTTGACACTGCACGCAACAAAAAAATAGTTCATTTGTAAAGATACTTAAGAAGTGCGGTTTATCGAGGACATGTTGCAAATTTGCAGTCTTGAAAGGCAGTATCACAATGCATGTGAGAAGCATCACAGGATTAACTGAAATCGGCCATTGAACACGCTGTTCATCGTCTTCAAGTGTTATTCTTTCAAAATGGGGACTGCACTGAGCACTCTAAGCCAATATCCTCTGCATGGCTAAGATTATGTGTGCTATATAAATAAAACGTTGCTTTTAGCGCTAAATGTGCCATAGCGGCGAGTTTTGGTACTAATTTTTATGGAAATATCACCCTACTAAATCTAGTTGCATTTAGCATGTTAGACTAGACTAAATGTAAATTGTCACTAGTCTCTAGACAGCTTGAATAGGATAATTAATTACTATCACCCGGTAAGTATCATTTTTTTAGATTGAAAAAAGGGATTTGTAATGCATGAAGCTTCAATTTTACTTACTGTGGAAGTTTGATAGTCAGTCAACATGGAGAATGGAGGAGTATCCTTCCTTCATCCATTTTGACAGACATTATAATAGAGATCTATGCCTAAACAAAAGTTAAAGATCCTGATCATACTCGAATGCAGATCCCTCAAAAAATAATAGAAAAATATCCAAAAATTTACCTGTCTGGTTTAAAATCTAAAGGATCTTCCCACAATTCCGGATCACGATGCAAAACCCAAATAGCAGCTTGAAAAGCTGTATTTTTAGGAAATACATAATCTTTATAGCGAAATTCTATATTACTTTTTCGAGTGACAAAACTGGAAAATGTTAACAATATTTAGTCCAGAAACTTGAATGATATGGATTTAAAAATTTACATTTGCCTCACCTGATAACGGGAGGATAAATACGAAGTGATTCACTTACAACTTGATCCATATAACTTAAATTCATGATGTCATCATATGTTAATTCTTCCTGCATTTCAAAACAAAAAGTTAAAAAAAAAGTATTTATTTATAAAGTCAAACCTCGATATATCGCAACCATCGTAAAGCTGTACCCGTACTCATAAATATTAAATGGAGCAGTTTTATCATCTCTGAACTATTAAATGCGTTGTAAGATGGCTTGAATGAGAGAGCGTGTAAACGTGCTTTCGCCATTTTGCTTACAACTTTCTGTTTCATTATTTTGAGGTAAGGTGATTCTTGTTATCTTTCTATACATATAGAATATTATACTAGGCATGTAGAATATTACACTCTTTAGTCAATTTTTTTTTAATGTAATAGTTTCGATATTACACGTTTTCTTCATGACTTATGGTCCATAAACTATCATGATGCCATTACCCCGAAAGTGTTCGGCAGTACCTCACGACATTCTTTGAATTAATGTTGCAGATGACTTGACTTCCATTTCTGGATTTCTCAAGTGGGAGGCGAAGACTTCGAGAGCAGTAGGAAGGCAAGGTTAGAGGGAATCATCTAGACAATGTAGACAGAAGTTTGAATGAAAAACCTCCGATTAGGAGGTTTAGATCCTAATCTAAACATAGTAATCTTAGTTTAGAAGGCCGGGCGGCTAAAGTGGAAGCCATACTGCTAAACTATCTGTGCTGTAACATCTAAAATCTTCGTGTTATGAAGTTTACAGAATCACAACCTAAGAGTTCCACAATACCCGGTCTCATAATTGTATGACATATTTGGATTTAACGCAAATTTCAGAGTAAAATAGTAGCGCTAAATCGAGGTTTAACTATAATTCTAATTTTATAATTTAATTAATTTTTTTTACTTTTTGATGAAAGACATTTAACAATTCTTGTCGTAAATTTTCTTGAATATCTTGATGTGTCGCTAATAAAAATGTCGTGTAAGTTAAACAAGTGCTGGTAGTATGGTGCCTAAATTAAAAAACAAAAAGTCATGAAATTTATTGAAAAAACTATAAAAATTATTTATTATGAAATGTTTTATATTGTAATCGTGTATTTGTATCGTATCGAACTTTCTCGAACTGAGAAGAGCTCTATGGCTAAAACTCCTCCCAAAGTTTGTTACCATCAAGTGATGAGGAAATGGGGTAAATGAATTAATTTATGTTAATTATAGAACTTTTCCTGATGGCATGATATCAGGGAAAGTTTAAGTTGTGCGAGGTTCTGGACAAGCATAGGCTTGAAATGATTAGTGATGGTACTTACCACCACCAAGATCACCAAAGTATTGGGGTTTGTAATACAATACAATATTTGGGCGCAACCAAGGGTCCTCCTGGGAGGACGTTTTATGAAACTGGTCCTAATTTAAGTGTTAAACATGTGAAGAAAATCTGGAAAACTATAATACATGTGCCAGCCCGTTGATGAAGAGCNAATTTTTTTATGTTTTAAATTCATTACGTATTTACATGTTTATATATTATAATGTATATATATATATATATATTTTTAATTAATTTTTGAATATTGACTTGAAAATTACCGATATGATCAATCATCGCGTATTGAATGTTGCTTAACAAATATGAAATTAATGATAGATGATGTAACATGATGATTACATTTTTTCTTCTTGAATTTTAACATCTCTTCACTAACCCTGAGCTTTCTTTAAGGCTTTTATATCTAACTCACCATAGTATTTTTCACTAAAAAGAAAAGGGCATTAATTAGTTCTTTCAAATTAAATTTCATAAATTGTCTGAAAATCTGATACTCACCAACCGCTGACATTTTCGGGATCATCGCATTGAAGGGTGTCCACATTGAAAACTGTGCCTACACCACACCCATACGATCTAGCAATACCATCAATACAAACATAGAATTTGCGGCAATCTGTAGGATGAGCATGACGAGTGTATAGACCAGGTTGATCTATCTCATGAGGATCGGGGCACACGTAACCTTCAGCCACCTCTGGAATAATCAAACATTAATGAATCCCTGATAATTGAAATCTATTTTTAGTAAAAAAAATATTAATTATCTTACCTAATTGATCACATCTATCTACATTATCTGCCCAAACACATACTCTCTGATCGGTATCATAAGCCAATCCAGTTGGGCATTCGTATCTGGAAGCTTCTCCATTCCAACAAGAATAGAAGACGCGGCAATTGTCTTTATCTTCGAAAATTCCGTAAAGACGTTTGCAATGGGGTGTACTTACAGGAGGTTCTAAAAAGTTAATAAAAAATATTAATTGAAGATTGTAACTTAATAATTATCAGATATATTAAAAATTATTACGTGTCAGAATTCTATAAGCATATACGTATATTTTCAGTTCGTAATTCTCAATATGACTTGATTCGTATACATGAAAGAAATACAATTCACATTGATTTTTATCAAATTTAGTAATCTATTCAACGCTTCCATTTATTATTTAATTAAACATAAAAATAATTCTAAGTTTGCAAGTCGAAGAGAAATACAAGCTTTTGATAGGCCTCACACGAGGATCAATAGAGCCATTTGGATCAGTCCTCGCATTACGATAGCCTCAAAAACTAGTTTCAAATCATCCATTGCATTTTTTTCTATAGGCTCTAACTATATGCTTTCTTTTTAAATTTTTTATTCTTTCCGCTTGTAGGCACTGTGGCCTTTTTAATTATACACATCGTAGGTTTAGCCAGGTCCACAATTGGTGGTGAGGGACGGGAGTGATTGCCCGTGAAAAATTCATAGGGAGTTGCTCGCCCAGATTCTACCCTTTCTAAAAAGGTAAATGTCCTGGTTCTCTCTCAACATTGAAAAATGCTGGCCATCGGAGGGACAATGAGAAATCACTATAAATCTTCAATAATAATTTATTTTGATTCATCTCTATCATTGTTTTAAATCGGGGATCAGATTACATTATTAATTTAATAAGAATCATTACAAATATATATATATATATATATACAAATATGGATTACTTTACAAGAAGCATTACAAAGATTACTCTGAATCACTAGTTAAATAAATTAATTACTGTCCGCATGCCGCATGTACTTTCATGATATTCTTACCTAATTCAGTTCTATCGCCGCAGTTAACTGTGAATGGATAAGCACAGTTTTCTCTCAGAGGATCCGATTCATCGAAAACCAAACCATTTCCACACGTTTTCAGAGTAGATGTACCGTTTTCACAGGCCCAATACTTATCACAACTTTTATGATGTGGATAGAAACCAAAATTTTCAGGGCAATCAAAATAGTCTTGGGCGAATACTGAAATGAAGAGAATTCCATAATTAAAAATAATTAATTAATTAATCACTGATATCCTAATTCCAGTATTAAAAATAAATCAAAGTATCGTTATTTATATTTATCCTTGAAATTAAATTATTCAATTTTTCAGAAACGTCTAAACCTCACCCAATAGAAAAGTCGAATAACTTGGAGTAAAAACTGAGTCAAGGAGAACTGTTTTAGATATATTTGATGTTTATTCCAATTTTGACCTCAATTTTTGGTTGCTTACACCTAATGGAACCGAAAAAATGTGTTCGGAATGTTTAGAAAATTAAAATAGTCTAAAAATTCTTCTGTGGTATTTAAAGATTATTAATAGACCTACATTCAAGGTTTCGCTACATTATACAAGGCAAAAAAAAAACTTGACTATATCACTATTGTGCTCATTACTTGTCACTTGTTTGACATCTAAGAATTCTGCAGACTGGTTGTGATTGACCTAAATTGTGTCTTCGATAAAAATTTCCACGTAATTAAAAGTTTCATTTGTTACAATATTGTTTCTGCACCACCTACTACAATTATGTAATTTTTTTACTATACTTAAACCGGGATTATCCTTAATGATTCTTGGCAAAACGCACCTAACTCTTCGTAACTTGTATATACAGAATTAAAAAATGTCGTTAAACTTGCATAAATTCATTTTATACACACTATTTTTAATTGCTCGAAGCTAATAAATCCGGTTTTGCTTAAAACTCTAACGTTGCAACGTAACCAAAAATGTACACTCCAATAATTCAATTCGATTATATAAATTCAATTTGTTATAAGTATACATATTCGTAATTAAAACTCTGTATAGGATGATATATAATGCATTTAATATATATCAGCGATATTAAAAAGTTGTGTTTAGTGGAATCTTAAGTTTCCGCAAAGTATCTCCAGGTGGATTCTGCAAGCGTTCTTGAAAATGCCTCGTGGTAAATTGGAATTGTAACAATAAAAATTATCATTTTAAAATATTTTTGAGTTTTTTTTTAATATCATAATAAGATTCAATCTTTTACTTTTGCAAAGTTTGATAATATTTAACTTTTTTTTATACTTGAAAATCACTGTAAAGTTTCGCGAGAATGGCTCTAAGGTTTATTATAATTCTGAACTATAATATACAACAGGAGCTTTTCCTCCGCCAAATAATACGTGTAAAAATGCGAGGTCCTAAGCTGCAATTTGTATTATCCTAATGGTTACATGAAATTTTTAGCTTTAAAATTTCTCATGATTCACGAATTTCTAAACTACATTCCACAACTAATGCAAACAGGTGAATTCTATTTTTAAACATTTCATATGGATAAGAAAAATGCTAATATATTGCACTATCATTTTTCAAAGTTGAAGTTGATAAGCAAGAATTATTTGGTAACTCTTGAAGAATTCTTGTCGTGTTTAACTTTTCTACAATTAAGATAATATTGCAAAAGTCATTGAAAGAGTCTACTATTTAGGAGCAATTTCACGAAATATGCCAAACAATTTTAGATATTTTACGAAGATTCAGGAGATTTAAACTCTATTTATAAAATCTTAGTATATTTAAAAGATGTATTACAACAATCATCGTAAATTATATTTTTATGATATATAATCAAATTAATAATTGCCCATAGTGTGATCTATTTAAATGTACATGTTTACCCGTATGCTAATTGTAAATTATTATTAATTTAGCAATAATTATAAGTAAACGTGAACCATATGGGTGAGTCTATGATACAAGAATAATTTTGTATTCGTTAATTAATATATATTTTTATAGACCAGCCCATTAGAAGGATCAGTATTAAGAAATATTGTAAGTCAAATTTACAAAGAAAACTACAGTTTATATATGCGTTAAAGAAATCAGGTGGAGATCATGCCGATTTCTTAGTTTCTCCAGACACGTTTTCGCGTCAAGTTTATGGAAAATGATTCATTAATATTTAATATATTATAATATTTAAAATCTAACAAATAAGTGAAAGTATTTCGGATATTTTCTCTAATAAATTAAAAATATGAGCACCTACCTGATCCAAATGCAAGGAAGACAAAGAATAGGGCCAACATTTTGAGATGTAGTTGCCAGCTATTTGGCACAAGAAATAATTCGAAAGACTGCCGTACCTCTTACTTATGTATTGCTTGGCCCTGACCTACCCAAGTACTACACCTGTCATTGGCAGAACTGTCTAAAGTCGAACGTGCTTTCATTTCAAGGCTGGAATGCACTAGATCAATTAAAATTTATTATTATCTACTTAAAAAAATACGCATTTCTTATTAAAAAAAAGGGCACTATTTAGTGTATAAAAACGGGGTGCAACCTTAACTTACTCTCAATTTTGTCTTTGACGCGTGAAATCCGCATTGCAAATTGACAGGGTCTTAACTATTAATACGTTAATGAACAGGTTAAAAGTGATTAAAATTTGCCTTGAATAGTAAAAAATTTAAAAAAAACTCGCAAATATCGTGACATTTACGTGATGATTTATCTGCTTTTTATTTTTATCAGAATCGTTTAAAATTTTTTGAATTTTTGCTTATATCGAGGGCGACATATTATAACAATCCTATCCTATTATGGCGCCCCCTAATTTATACCCTTTAATTTTCTTTGCCACTGAGGCGCCCCCTAGGATTTAGGGCCTGGAGCGGCTGCTCCGTTCGCCCTATGGTAGGGCCGGCTCTGATTGGATTAATGAGATGAGGCAAAGCAATACATGGGCAATATGCCAAGGGAGGAGCCTCTCAAGAGGACTTTCTACGAAAAACTGGCCCTTGTTTAGATGTTGGACACGTGAAGAAAATCTAGAAAACACGTGGCTAGCCACTGTTTCAGGCATGAACCAGTGTTCAGTGATTTTTATCCACCCGGCAACTGGTGGGGTATGTAAAATATCATTTGGTGGGGGTGCGGCAACGCAACACGTGGCTTATCTGCCAAAGGGATGCCCCCTGAGAGATCTTTCATAAAAAAATAGCCCCTATATGTGAAGAAAACCCGGAAAACTCTGGTCCGAACACGTGACCAACTAGTAGTGTTCAGTGATATCTACTCGGATATTAGTGGACAATATAAAATATAGAAAATGCAAGCATGAAATAATAATTATATTCTTAGGTAAATACCGGTAATTTTCTTAAATGTACAATTAAAAACAAGTTTGAAAAAATATTTAAGCAAAGAATTCCTAAAAAATTAAAATGTTATTAAAATATAGCAACTTAAATATGTAAATTATTTAAAATGTAGACAGGAAAAAAATATTTCAAAGAATTGGATATAAAAAATTGATAAATTACCTCAAAAAAGGAACATTTTTTTATGAATGTGATATATATTTAAATATCAGGAAGTATTTTCAAGGCCGTATCCATTATCATACTCATTTTATCAATTTGAAAAACGCTAAGTGACACGTCATAATAAACCACACCCTACTCCACTCACGTTAAGTCGATCATCTTTAGAATTTTGATTTTTATTCACAATAGTATTACCTGAAATTTAAATTGTTTTACGCTGTTATATAATCTGTGCAAGGATTATAGATTCAATACTACTACTTCTTTTTTTTTTTGTAGTTGCTATAGAAATTCAATTTTCAGAATTGTTTACTGTTAAAGACATTCAATATGTCACAATTTCGAAATTATATTATTCAAGGAAAGCGAGTGTATTTTTATTTCCTTTTATAGTAAAATTGAAAATACGATAAAGAATAATTTATATCAAATGTCTCATTTATTTGACTTGATATGGGAGATGTGCCAATGGTTCGTTTTAAAAGTGAAAACGGTACCATTTTCACTTTTATTGTGTCACTGTCTTAAACTAGACATTTTCACTGTCTAGTTTAAATCGAGAAAACTCAATAAAAAATTATACAAAGGAAATATTTAAGTATTGCATTGAATTTTTTTTATCTTTTAAAAAAATAAATAGCATATAAAAAAGCACAGTAAAGCGTTAGAAAGTTGTAGAAAATAAGAGTGAAAATGAAATAATAATTTGCTTTAAAAAGTTTTGAGATTAAGTTAAAACAAAATTTAAAAATCCAAAAACCAGTAAAAGGCATTTAAAAATAAATAATAAAAAAACTATAAAATGCAAAAGACTTGTTTTAGGAGTTATATGTGAGTTTTTAAGTATTTAAATGCCAACTACGAGTAAAACTCATTCGAACCTCAATCGAGATATATGATCCCCTACCCCTCTCCTCCTCCTTTTTAACTCACAATCTCCTACCAAAATTCAAAATTTTTGGTCCATGAGATCCTGAGATATAAAGCAAAATACAGGCCAACACTCACACATAGATACAGAATTATGTTCCCTGTTTTTTTTTTTTTTTTTAATTAAGGAATCTTAAAATGTTGAGAAATACAAAAACCGAAAGGTCAAAATTACATCAGATACAGTTACAAGTAGCTGGGATAGTAATTTAAGAAATTGAATAAAAAAGAAATTAATAATAATAAAATAGAGCATAAAATGCTTTAAAAAGAAAATTAAATAATATTGTATTTAAAAAATTCAAAAAATTCGATTATGATATCGTGTGAAATACAATTTAACATTTACCATATGTTGGAGTATAAAGTAGAGAAACGTCAGCAAAAGGCTGTCTAGTTTAAACTGTCTGAAGATATTTGTGGCAAGGTCAATCAGGAGGTTGAAGACCATGAACCGAATGATTCCTTCCGCACAAGTTCTCCTTGGCCTAACCAAGAAACTTGTTTGACATTAGTTCAACGTACGACAAACACTAATTAGAATAATATCGATCGTCAGTGTTAAATTTGGATGAAGAATTAGCATTGGATGCTCATCTATAATTAATACTCTAATTCCGATTTAAATTATTTTATCTCATTTTTTTTACAGTTTTAATTAGAAAATATTTATGGCTTCTGTATTGAAAGAGGAACTAGTCGAACGAACATTCCACTCTTGGGTGCGGTGACAGATACTTTGTACTCCACGTCTAGATTTGTCTGTAAGAATTAAAGTAATTATTTAAATTAAGGTTTATTTTGTTAATTTGTATATATTTTTTAAATTATACCTCGGAACTAGGAAGAATGCGGTAATTCAGCAGTAATTTTACTAGAATTAGTTTGATTTCTAAAAGAGCGAATCTCATTCCAACACAGTTACGTGGTCCAGCGCCAAAGGGTTGGTAAGAAATACCCATATTTGATTTATTTTCTGGTGAAAATCTGTATTTAGAAACGTAAAAAAATTAATAAATTTACTTTCTGAAAGTACATGTTATTAAGTTTTATTCTATAAATATTTCTAAGATAGAAAAAATAGAAATACATTAAATGAATATTGAGAGGAAGCTTATAAAATAAATATTTTTAAGAAATTGAAATTCTTGCTTAAACTATTACTAGTTTAGCCCTGTATGAATATTTTATACCACGATTTTTGCATAAATTGCATTTATCGATCGAGTGATCAAAGTTGAAGCATCAGCCTTCAGCTTTGGGTATCTGGATTCAAATCCAACTCAAATCCTCAGAAATATTCATAGAATATCTAATCTAGAAAAATTAAATTATAAAGAATAATTGACACGAAAATAAACCCTCTTTTTCGTGCCCATTTCGTGGTTCATTCAGATCAATGATTGGGACGACCGAGTGAGAGGAGCTTGATTCTTCCACAAAAAAAGTGTCAACAAATTGGATCATCATAAACACGTTTTGCGGAAGAAGCAATGCCCCTTGCCACTTGGTCCTCTCAACTGTGGGTCTGACTGAACTTATAACTGGGCACGAAAAAACTCTCTTAGTGCCTGCTGGATGGAAACAGAATTTTGAAAACTTATATATGTAGACATGTAAAGATTTTTATAATTTAGATAATTATCATCATCATCATCAGTTGGTTTTCATGAATTTTATTAACTTTCTCATCTCTCTCTCTCTATTCTTTGGTTTATATTTCTCTATTCTTCCAATCTTTGTCTACAAAGCAAATTTATGCACAATTTTCAGATTTTCAAGATTTTTGTAAATTATATAAAATATTTTCTTGTAATTTGAACGCAGTTTAGAAAGAAAATAACATCTTAAAACTATTCGATGAAAAATTTAAATTATAATTTTTGAAATAATTTGATTTTATATTTTTGTTTAATATTTTATTAAAAAATAATTTACATCATTTACCACGTGAGAAATATTCTGTTTCACAAATATTGGAACCATTCCAACTTCCCTTGTTCATAAAAACTGATCATTGTGAATTTATTTAAATAAAATTTTGTATTGCATTAATTTTATTGAAATTTATGTTAGAAAATTATCTTTTGTTTTAACTTGTAAAACATTTATTTATTTTGGCAAACAAAATTAGGATTCTTACTTTATTCTACTTCATTTTTATTGATTTAGAGACTATTTTATGTCATATAAATGCTTTTTTGCCACATATAACTTATTATGACATATTGATATTATCAATAATAATAACAATAACAATAACATATTTATTAAATTTAAATTTATTAGTTATATATTTTTTAAATTAATTTTTAACTCACTTATTCTTTCTTCTTATTTTTGTATTTAAATTGTTTATATATTTCGCTGTTTGAGAAAAATCTATTCATTATCAAAAATGTATAAGAATTACATTGATATACTATTGTATATTAAATATATGCTATATATAGCATAACCATATGAGTTTACAATATATTAATGTATATATAATATAGTATATGCTATGTGTAATAATATTAAAACATAATATAAAAGAGTATAAAGGAGATAAAGATTGCATAAAATAAAAATAGACAGCGATAATATAGTCTAAAGAATATGAAATATGGAAGAGATGATAAGTTCTGTTAGTAATTCATTTATACTGGGCTCCTGCAGATTTTGGTGAAGAGAAATAGAGTAACGACTTATTTCCCTGAAATAATCAAGGCATATTCAATATGATTGAGGTCAGGGGAACGAGTTGTTAGCCTCAAGGAACAATTCGACCAGTCTAGTTTGGTAAGGACGGGTATTGTTACCCTGTACTTATAGCACCCTCATAACACTTGACAAGATAATCAAGGATTTCAAATTCTATATCTCCGAGCATTTGAGAAACCGGTGCACATTCAATTTTGTGAGGCTATCCAAAATTACCAATCTAACCCGTTCTTTTGGGTTGATTTTAATGATAATAGAGTCATCATAACTTTGTCAGATAAACTGACAATGTATAGGGTGTTTATACCAGCAAAATGGAACATTATGAAGAACGAGCTGATCGGGAATCCGTGATATAAGGCCTATTCAATGTCGTCTAGAAATATTTAGCAGTCTAAATGCAACTAAATTCAGAGAGTATGAAAGACATTTCCATGAAAACTATTAGAACCAAAGCTCGCCGCGATGGCACTCTTGACACTGCACGCAACAAAAAAATAGTTCATTTGTAAAGATACTTAAGAAGTGCGGTTTATCGAGGACATGTTGCAAATTTGCAGTCTTGAAAGGCAGTATCACAATGCATGTGAGAAGCATCACAGGATTAACTGAAATCGGCCATTGAACACGCTGTTCATCGTCTTCAAGTGTTATTCTTTCAAAATGGGGACTGCACTGAGCACTCTAAGCCAATATCCTCTGCATGGCTAAGATTATGTGTGCTATATAAATAAAACGTTGCTTTTAGCGCTAAATGTGCCATAGCGGCGAGTTTTGGTACTAATTTTTATGGAAATATCACCCTACTAAATCTAGTTGCATTTAGCATGTTAGACTAGACTAAATGTAAATTGTCACTAGTCTCTAGACAGCTTGAATAGGATAATTAATTACTATCACCCGGTAAGTATCATTTTTTTAGATTGAAAAAAGGGATTTGTAATGCATGAAGCTTCAATTTTACTTACTGTGGAAGTTTGATAGTCAGTCAACATGGAGAATGGAGGAGTATCCTTCCTTCATCCATTTTGACAGACATTATAATAGAGATCTATGCCTAAACAAAAGTTAAAGATCCTGATCATACTCGAATGCAGATCCCTCAAAAAATAATAGAAAAATATCCAAAAATTTACCTGTCTGGTTTAAAATCTAAAGGATCTTCCCACAATTCCGGATCACGATGCAAAACCCAAATAGCAGCTTGAAAAGCTGTATTTTTAGGAAATACATAATCTTTATAGCGAAATTCTATATTACTTTTTCGAGTGACAAAACTGGAAAATGTTAACAATATTTAGTACAGAAACTTGAATGATATGGATTTAAAAATTTACATTTGCCTCACCTGATAACGGGAGGATAAATACGAAGTGATTCACTTACAACTTGATCCATATAACTTAAATTCATGATGTCATCATATGTTAATTCTTCCTGCATTTCAAAACAAAAAGTTAAAAAAAAAGTATTTATTTATAAAGTCAAACCTCGATATATCGCAACCATCGTAAAGCTGTACCCGTACTCATAAATATTAAATGGAGCAGTTTTATCATCTCTGAACTATTAAATGCGTTGTAAGATGGCTTGAATGAGAGAGCGTGTAAACGTGCTTTCGCCATTTTGCTTACAACTTTCTGTTTCATTATTTTGAGGTAAGGTGATTCTTGTTATCTTTCTATACATATAGAATATTATACTAGGCATGTAGAATATTACACTCTTTAGTCAATTTTTTTTTAATGTAATAGTTTCGATATTACACGTTTTCTTCATGACTTATGGTCCATAAACTATCATGATGCCATTACCCCGAAAGTGTTCGGCAGTACCTCACGACATTCTTTGAATTAATGTTGCAGATGACTTGACTTCCATTTCTGGATTTCTCAAGTGGGAGGCGAAGACTTCGAGAGCAGTAGGAAGGCAAGGTTAGAGGGAATCATCTAGACAATGTAGACAGAAGTTTGAATGAAAAACCTCCGATTAGGAGGTTTAGATCCTAATCTAAACATAGTAATCTTAGTTTAGAAGGCCGGGCGGCTAAAGTGGAAGCCATACTGCTAAACTATCTGTGCTGTAACATCTAAAATCTTCGTGTTATGAAGTTTACAGAATCACAACCTAAGAGTTCCACAATACCCGGTCTCATAATTGTATGACATATTTGGATTTAACGCAAATTTCAGAGTAAAATAGTAGCGCTAAATCGAGGTTTAACTATAATTCTAATTTTATAATTTAATTAATTTTTTTTACTTTTTGATGAAAGACATTTAACAATTCTTGTCGTAAATTTTCTTGAATATCTTGATGTGTCGCTAATAAAAATGTCGTGTAAGTTAAACAAGTGCTGGTAGTATGGTGCCTAAATTAAAAAACAAAAAGTCATGAAATTTATTGAAAAAACTATAAAAATTATTTATTATGAAATGTTTTATATTGTAATCGTGTATTTGTATCGTATCGAACTTTCTCGAACTGAGAAGAGCTCTATGGCTAAAACTCCTCCCAAAGTTTGTTACCATCAAGTGATGAGGAAATGGGGTAAATGAATTAATTTATGTTAATTATAGAACTTTTCCTGATGGCATGACATCAGGGAAAGTTTAAGTTGTGCGAGGTTCTGGACAAGCATAGGCTTGAAATGATTAGTGATGGTACTTACCACCACCAAGATCACCAAAGTATTGGGGTTTGTAATACAATACAATATTTGGGCGCAACCAAGGGTCCTCCTGGGAGGACGTTTTATGAAACTGGTCCTAATTTAAGTGTTAAACATGTGAAGAAAATCTGGAAAACTATAATACATGTGCCAGCCCGTTGATGAAGAGCNAAGAAACTAGAGAAGTGAATATGATATAAGAGAAGGAAATATGTAAATTGCAAGAAATTTATTTAACAGTAAAAAAATAATAGTTATAATGACAAGCAGAAATCAAGTAAAAATTGTTTTCTAATTAATCATATTTTATTTCCTATGAAAAATAACAGAAAACAGATATACTGTATATATAATATATATACAGTATATAAAACATACCCAGCTAGGAAAAATATCAAAGAATTTCCTTGAATTTCTTTATTTGTCATACGATGCAGTTTCTGTTCCGTATTTTCTTGTTTGGGAAAATATTTATACATTATTAATAATTATAGATCTAGTTTATCAATCAAAATCATAAAAGTAAATAAATTTTATTTAAAAATTACCTTGGAAAGAGATTTCTTTATTAGCCTTTGTAGAAGTGGAGTCTGCTGTTAGAGTTTGAATATCAGTTGATCTTAATTGCTCATTAGAGATTCCATTGTCTATCATTAATTGAATCAGATCACACCTTTTCTAAAATAATTAAGATATTTACACTACTTTTCATAATTTTTATGTATTTTCAAAGTAATAAACTAATCTAAGTTTTACTTATTAACTTTTACATATTTGAGACCATTCAAGTATTACTTCAGCAGTTTATAGGGAGGAAGGATTCGTTTGTATCTAACGATTTTGACGATGGAAGAAGGAAAGGTGAGTTTTTGATGACGTAAGGTTGAACCCTCCTCGTTTATTTTACTCTCTACTCATTACAAAATTACGTGAAAATGATTTCTGTGTATTTGGGAATGCTTTAAACTTCTGGCCTAATGACATTACTTGTATTTGCAGAAGGGCACTGTACTTCCTAATAACTGGTGATGAAGGGAAGGAGGAACTCATTTTTGTCGTTGTAATACTTGAAAGTTCTCTTTATAATTTTTAAACAACTAAAAACCTGTTTGTTTAATTTTCTTGCTTTAATAACGTCATTTACTGTTTTAATGAGTCTAGTTACGCTAGGAAGTTTAAATAAATATCGAAGATTATCATGAAGTACTCTAAGAATGAATACAACAGGTGAAGTATCTGGAAAATAAACTTGAGAAAAAATATTAATTTTATTACATTATATATAATAAAAATTACACGCAGTAAATGTTGATATAATTTTATATACTACCTGATATCCTTACGGATGGATCAGCCAAACTAAAGCTTACAGCAAATTCACAATCATGTACGAAACTGCTGTCATTGTTAAATTGTACATCAGTTTTAATTCCAAAATTCGTTTTTCCTATAACGTCCATGCTTAACTTTGTGTATAATTTGTGAATATCAACGTTACGAAGAGAATATTTATTTAATAGTTGCAAGAAGTCTTCCACAGAACTTTCCATCAGAGAATACATCTGTAAAAACGTTGTACAACACTATCATATCAAATCAATGGACTTTTCTTTATGTGAAAGTGTTATCCGTAAGATATTATTTTCCCCTCTCAGCCACACATTTCTCTATCCAAAGAGATTTAGACATTAGAAAGTATTGAAAGTGAAAGCTTTATATAAAAATTAGGAAACCATGGCCGTAATCATGGCAACAGCTTTCCGTTTTTTGGCTGCTTTTCCCTCTTTCCTATGGTCCTGAGGTGTATATGTAGGTGTATGTGTGTGTGTGTNTGGACAAGCATAGGCTTGAAATGATTAGTGATGGTACTTACCACCACCAAGATCACCAAAGTATTGGGGTTTGTAATACAATACAATATTTGGGCGCAACCAAGGGTCCTCCTGGGAGGACTTTTTATGAAACTGGTCCTAATTTAAGTGTTAAACATGTGAAGAAAATCTGGAAAACTGTAATACATGTGCCAGCCCGTTGATGAAGAGCGAATCAACAACCTGTGTTCAGTGGTTTTATCCTCTAGGCCACTGATGAGGTAGATAATATAGTCTAAAGAATATGAAATATGGAAGAGATGATAAGTTCTGTTAGTAATTCATTTATACTGGGCTCCTGCAGATTTTGGTGAAGAGAAATAGAGTAACGACTTATTTCCCTGAAATAATCAAGGCATATTCAATATGATTGAGGTCAGGGGAACGAGTTGTTAGCCTCAAGGAACAATTCGACCAGTCTAGTTTGGTAAGGACGGGTATTGTTACCCTGTACTTATAGCACCCTCATAACACTTGACAAGATAATCAAGGATTTCAAATTCTATATCTCCGAGCATTTGAGAAACCGGTGCACATTCAATTTTGTGAGGCTATCCAAAATTACCAATCTAACCCGTTCTTTTGGGTTGATTTTAATGATAATAGAGTCATCATAACTTTGTCAGATAAACTGACAATGTATAGGGTGTTTATACCAGCAAAATGGAACATTATGAAGAACGAGCTGATCGGGAATCCGTGATATAAGGCCTATTCAATGTCGTCTAGAAATATTTAGCAGTCTAAATGCAACTAAATTCAGAGAGTATGAAAGACATTTCCATGAAAACTATTAGAACCAAAGCTCGCCGCGATGGCACTCTTGACACTGCACGCAACAAAAAAATAGTTCATTTGTAAAGATACTTAAGAAGTGCGGTTTATCGAGGACATGTTGCAAATTTGCAGTCTTGAAAGGCAGTATCACAATGCATGTGAGAAGCATCACAGGATTAACTGAAATCGGCCATTGAACACGCTGTTCATCGTCTTCAAGTGTTATTCTTTCAAAATGGGGACTGCACTGAGCACTCTAAGCCAATATCCTCTGCATGGCTAAGATTATGTGTGCTATATAAATAAAACGTTGCTTTTAGCGCTAAATGTGCCATAGCGGCGAGTTTTGGTACTAATTTTTATGGAAATATCACCCTACTAAATCTAGTTGCATTTAGCATGTTAGACTAGACTAAATGTAAATTGTCACTAGTCTCTAGACAGCTTGAATAGGATAATTAATTACTATCACCCGGTAAGTATCATTTTTTTAGATTGAAAAAAGGGATTTGTAATGCATGAAGCTTCAATTTTACTTACTGTGGAAGTTTGATAGTCAGTCAACATGGAGAATGGAGGAGTATCCTTCCTTCATCCATTTTGACAGACATTATAATAGAGATCTATGCCTAAACAAAAGTTAAAGATCCTGATCATACTCGAATGCAGATCCCTCAAAAAATAATAGAAAAATATCCAAAAATTTACCTGTCTGGTTTAAAATCTAAAGGATCTTCCCACAATTCCGGATCACGATGCAAAACCCAAATAGCAGCTTGAAAAGCTGTATTTTTAGGAAATACATAATCTTTATAGCGAAATTCTATATTACTTTTTCGAGTGACAAAACTGGAAAATGTTAACAATATTTAGTACAGAAACTTGAATGATATGGATTTAAAAATTTACATTTGCCTCACCTGATAACGGGAGGATAAATACGAAGTGATTCACTTACAACTTGATCCATATAACTTAAATTCATGATGTCATCATATGTTAATTCTTCCTGCATTTCAAAACAAAAAGTTAAAAAAAAAGTATTTATTTATAAAGTCAAACCTCGATATATCGCAACCATCGTAAAGCTGTACCCGTACTCATAAATATTAAATGGAGCAGTTTTATCATCTCTGAACTATTAAATGCGTTGTAAGATGGCTTGAATGAGAGAGCGTGTAAACGTGCTTTCGCCATTTTGCTTACAACTTTCTGTTTCATTATTTTGAGGTAAGGTGATTCTTGTTATCTTTCTATACATATAGAATATTATACTAGGCATGTAGAATATTACACTCTTTAGTCAATTTTTTTTTAATGTAATAGTTTCGATATTACACGTTTTCTTCATGACTTATGGTCCATAAACTATCATGATGCCATTACCCCGAAAGTGTTCGGCAGTACCTCACGACATTCTTTGAATTAATGTTGCAGATGACTTGACTTCCATTTCTGGATTTCTCAAGTGGGAGGCGAAGACTTCGAGAGCAGTAGGAAGGCAAGGTTAGAGGGAATCATCTAGACAATGTAGACAGAAGTTTGAATGAAAAACCTCCGATTAGGAGGTTTAGATCCTAATCTAAACATAGTAATCTTAGTTTAGAAGGCCGGGCGGCTAAAGTGGAAGCCATACTGCTAAACTATCTGTGCTGTAACATCTAAAATCTTCGTGTTATGAAGTTTACAGAATCACAACCTAAGAGTTCCACAATACCCGGTCTCATAATTGTATGACATATTTGGATTTAACGCAAATTTCAGAGTAAAATAGTAGCGCTAAATCGAGGTTTAACTATAATTCTAATTTTATAATTTAATTAATTTTTTTTACTTTTTGATGAAAGACATTTAACAATTCTTGTCGTAAATTTTCTTGAATATCTTGATGTGTCGCTAATAAAAATGTCGTGTAAGTTAAACAAGTGCTGGTAGTATGGTGCCTAAATTAAAAAACAAAAAGTCATGAAATTTATTGAAAAAACTATAAAAATTATTTATTATGAAATGTTTTATATTGTAATCGTGTATTTGTATCGTATCGAACTTTCTCGAACTGAGAAGAGCTCTATGGCTAAAACTCCTCCCAAAGTTTGTTACCATCAAGTGATGAGGAAATGGGGTAAATGAATTAATTTATGTTAATTATAGAACTTTTCCTGATGGCATGACATCAGGGAAAGTTTAAGTTGTGCGAGGTTCTGGACAAGCATAGGCTTGAAATGATTAGTGATGGTACTTACCACCACCAAGATCACCAAAGTATTGGGGTTTGTAATACAATACAATATTTGGGCGCAACCAAGGGTCCTCCTGGGAGGACGTTTTATGAAACTGGTCCTNGTTACATCCTTCTAACAGGAAAAGTAACTTTCGTTATCATGGAATTATAACAAAACCTGCCAATTCAATATAAATGGAAAAAAAATATTATGTGGAATTGAACGAAAATGAAAATTTGCTTGATAATTCAACTACCTTTGTTGGAGAACAATAAAAACACTACACTCAACAAGCCACCAATAAAACTCAACTGCCTAACCTATAACCAAAGTCTTCTTTTAATTTGTTTTTTAAAAAAAGCGCTTGACAAACTTGCCCCGCATGCCGAAGTTGCCCCGGTCTCCCCTATATAATATGTATGTATGTTCACGCAGTTTAAATAACTCAGGGGCTGCCCATAAATTACGTATAGCAAGAAATGGGCGTGTGAGAATGCAGATATCGTCATGATGTATTACAAAGGGGTGGGATATGTTTAAAAAAAGTTACGTAATTGCTAGATCTTGCTTAACTCTTGGGTAGAAGAATAAATCATTTTTGTTTCTGAAGTGTTACATAGTGAATTGTACTATTTATGTCACTACTTCTTACATGGAATTAATGAAATAATGTAACGTTCACTACCCCGTGCTACGTATTACTCCTTAGTACAATTAAAGATGTTGATCGAGAATATGCGTTATGTAATTTTGGTGAAGGGTATGTGAGACAGCGTTACGGAACGTTACAGGAAATGGAATGGTAGTTGAAAAAATAATCAATTATATGAAGAATACTAACCTGTTTTAGTTTCCCTGATGTAAAAGTTGGTGTTATAATGCTTCTATTTTTCTTCCACTTTCCTCCCCTATTAGCTACGATAGAATGTCCAGATACTAGGCTCGGCATGGTTCCTTTAGGAACTACTACCTAGGTATATAAAAAATTCGAAAATGTACTTAATTTTATAAAGTAAATGTGTAATGATAATGGCTTTACTTTTCTGTCATTAAAATCGGAGAAATACTTAATTTGTATCAACTTTAACAATTCTATATCACTTGTCAAAATGAACGGTCTGCAACCGATGTAATATCTAAAAATTGGGTGATGATGATTATTATTTTACAATTATAAACTCTACTGCTACAAGCGGAGAGGCACACTTACCCAACGATCTTTCCATATTTTTCAATCCATAGACGATGACATTCTGCTAATCCCTGAAAAATATTAGATAATATTGATCATTTGTAGTGCAATAACAATTTCGTTTAGCCAAAAAAACATGCTTTTATTGTTCTAAAGATATTACTAGGCACTTGTCTTTTTCATTTGCAACGTAACTTGATTTATCATTTCCACTAATCATTTACACAGAGTACTACGACACTAATCATTTACAGAACCACCATTAGGGTCATCAATCCGTAAGGAATAGAGAGGACACCATGTCCCTCCCCAATATTTTTGTATTAGCAAATTGACTCCCCTCCAAACTTATTTTGTTTTTACCCCATACTATATAAATTAGAAGTAAAAACGAGTACTATGCACAAATGCACCTTATTTTTATATAAACTCAAAGCCTGACAATGAAAAATTTATCTCACTTATTGCCAATGATCCGACCTAATATATGTACTGTACAGATCGACGCTAATGAGTACCACGACATATCAACTTACATAATGCCCACCAGTGGCCGAGTGAATAAAAGCACTGAACATTAGTCGTTGGTCGTGGGTTCGCACCTTACTAACAGGATGGCCACATGGTGATCCGAGTTTTCTTCACATGTCAAATACTTAAATACAGGTCAATTTTTCTATAGAAAGCTAGGCAAATACCCCGTGGCATTGTGCCCGTGTGTTGCATTGCTTTATACTATTAATCTAATCTACTTACACAATAGTTAGCTTTAGAAAATAAATAAATCATAAAAAAGTCACAATCTCACATTGAAAGATAAGACCAACAGGTGATAATCTCCAAAAGTAGACTACAAGATAAGACAAAACATCAAGGCAGACTCGAACCAGATCCACAATAAAACCAAGAAAATATTTCATCGCGCACTTGTGATCAACATTTTCGAAAATATTGAATTTCTAGTTCAACAGTATTTAAGTGATTTAATAAATGATCAAACTTTGATTTTGCGCCACCATTTGTTTGTCTCTGAAACTGGTACTAGATCGAGTGTGGCGCTAAGCTGAAGTACGTGGAAGAATAAGAATTATACTTAGATCCACACAAAAATCTCAGTTTGAGAGCTTAAAGTCACATGATTTAGTAATTATAACATCGTTTCCAGTATACAAGCGTACATTTAATAATTCACAAGGCTCATCAGTGGCCAAGCGGTTCTATACCCTGAATACTGGAAGTTCTGTCGTGGGTTCACAACTCTCCAGGACGGGCTGGCCACGTGCCGTTTTCTGAGTTTTCTCCACGTCTTTAATTAACACCTGAATAGGGATCAGCTATGCTTAAAAAGACCTCCCGGAAGGCATCCCCCTAGGCAGATCGCTCAAGTGTTGCGTTGCCGTAACTTAATAAAACAAACAAATAATTCACAGCTATTATAAACCTTTAAAACTATTCATTAGTGTTTTTGCTATTTAGAGGGTTGCTCTATGGAGATTTGACTATGTTCATTTTCTAATCTTATAAACTTGTCATGAAAGAGGATGTTCAAGAAGATTTCGACATAAAATTGAAGATTTTGGTAGGAAGAGAAAACTACATCAAATATTCTCGACCTTCGATTGAAATTTAATCTAGTTTTTGGCCTACAATTGTTTCAAATATCTATAAATTCCTACTATCGTCCGTCTGTCTGTTCTTGCCTAATCTCGAGAACAGAGTTAGATAGATGAAAGTCGAAACCAGATATGGAAATCTTAGGAACAGGATGCCCCGATTAATTATATACAAATTTCCGGTCTAGAACGGAAGTCACGTGAATTCAATTTTAAAATTTTTGCATGAATGAATTTTTAAATGGATATATTTGTGTTTTTTAAAGGACTTTTTAAAATTCTGGCGGCATGTAGCCTAAAAAGGAAGGTCGGTCGCCATGAATATGTATAGTCTGGAACACAAGAAATAAATGATGGTCCCTTTTGAGAAGACTGTCTTTAATTTTATTAATATTAATAATCTCCATCGGACGAAAAAATTTACAAATGAATGGATTTAGATAGATGGCCTGCACGACTGTTGTTACCAGTAAAAGTAAAAAAATATGATGTACAGAAGCAAGACTCATTTGAGATGGAAAACATATTCTTAATTTATTCAATTTAAAATATATGACTAAAAACTGCAGCCCGGCATTGTGATGATTTCACAATAAATCATTGTATATTTTTTTTGCACTGTCACATATCTAACATCGAACGAATCGCCAGATTGCTTTATCGGGCTATTAAAGCTAAATAATTACTAAAAAATTTGGCAGGAGGAAGGCCGCCATCTCTTGTCAAATATAATAATTATAAATAGATAAATTTATTTTAGAATATTATGGGAGAAAACATCGGCCCGAACAGGAACCCGTAACTCCTATATACTTCTGTAGGGGGAAATGTCTGCCGGGAGGACTTCCTGTGGGAAACTAGCCTCTATTTAGGTGTTACAAACGTGAATAAAACCTGGAAAACTTCACATGGTCAGCTCGTGGGCGAGGCGGAACTCACGACCAACTATACGCCTAGAGCCCACCAGTATCCACTTGGCTACTGGGCTCTAGGCGTATAGATTACAAGGGTTCGAAATATTACAGCTTTTACGATAGACTCTTGATTCATTGCCTTGCGACTCGAACAAATAATAATAATAGATCAGGATCCATATATATATCCTGATCTATGATTGCCTCTCTGATTCTGCGTTGTATGGCAACTGCTAGACACAGTTGAAAAGACTGCGATTGCCCTCTTGCACTTCATGTGGGAGGGGTAGAGGAGGGGTAGATCGGTCTATGTCTTTCTTAGAGATGCTATGAAAATGACATAAGTTCATTTCATGGGTTTTTCGCGTTTCTTTCACCAAACTTATTTGCAGGCCCTATCAGAGGCCAGTAGGTCCGTATGGCTCGGATCCATTTTTTGCTCTCTTTTCGCTCTGTAAGCACTGAGATCTAGATTTTATATCTCTCGTGGATTCAAAATATCAAACACTAAAAATATTGGTCTCCTCAAGTTCATTAATTAGAAAATCTCCTGTATACACATGCGTTAATGTATGATGTAAATATAACGTATACAAAACGTTTGTAATATATACACCTAATATACACCTACACGGATAATGTATACAGTTATAGTTACGCGATCATTGAAAGTAGCTTGTTAAATAAAAATAAACCTATATCTACGAAAAACATTTTGTAATATTTGGGTATATATATATACCCAAATATTACAAAATGTTTTTCGTTATTTTTTTAGTTTTTGATATTTTGAATCCACGAGATATAAAATCTAGATCTCAGTGCTTACAGAGCGAAAAGAGAGCAAAAAATGGATCCGAGCCATACGGACGTACTGGCCTCTGATAAGGCCTGCAAATAAGTTTGGTGAAAGAAAAACGAAGAACCCATGAAATGAACTTATGTCATTTGCATAGCAACTCTAAGAAAGACATAGACCGATCTATCCTCTACCCCTCCCACATGAAGTGCAAGAGGGCAATCGCAATCTTTTCAACTGTGTCTAGCAGCTGCCATACAACGCAGAATCAGAGAGGCAATCATCTCATTGTCAGTTCAAGTCCCAGGGACCGATAGCACTCGTGGAAAAGCCATACAACAATAGTCCGGAATCAATCCGGATCCCCGTGAGCAGCAAATCGAAGGTAAGTCACAGCAGATATCCGCCAGACAACAATGTTCACATGATGTTAGTTAACTGATCATCAGACTATTTTTAGACAGATTTAAAACATTATTTTTGTACTTCGATCTTTTGCAATCTTATTTATTCGAAAGATTTCTCAACAAAAATGAAATACTAATACCTTGGCCTCTTTGTGCTCTCTGAGCGGTAAGGAACCTAAAACCACAAAAAAAAAAAAAAAAGAAATACTGACACCTACAATCATAGACGTAAACTGAAAGGGTCCAGAATCCGTTATTGTAATACATTAGTAATTTATTAATACCGGGGTTCCCAAAAATTGAAGGATTCTTCTTCAATCCAGTTTATATGGAAATTCTAGCCTGTTGGCCTTTTCTCCGACGTACACCGCTTTACGATTATGTGAAGCGGTTCGATCGATATATAAAACGTTCTAATGCCTCCACGAGCTGGCGAGGAGGTAGGTCGGCGTGTGCCCAGTAAATAGGTGTGAGTGTCCGGACGACTGAGAAATCTATAGATAAAAGTGCGACCGAGATCTTGACGGGCCTCCTCATACTTCGGACAAGAAATCCAGAAATGGCGGGATGTTTCCGGAGCGCCACAGAAATTGAAGGATAAAAACGTTGTCCATCCTTTAACTTTGGGGCCCAGCACAAATTAATATGTTAATGGGTGCTGAATGGGTTCAGGTGCCTTAGAGTTGACACCTACGCGTACAATTTAAAAAATTCTGAGTAAGAATAAATAAACGCTGGTTCTGAGAAAAACCAAAAGGAAAATTTTAAAAATATCCAGAAACGAGTTGCTTAACTTTTCCGGCAACACTTAAAATTTCGATGGCGCCATCTGTTATCATATTTTATTTAAATATGATAAAAATTTAAAAAGTTTTAAATTCTGTTAACTATTATAAAATGGCAAAAAGCTTAATTTTGAGGGTAGGGATGGATTTTATATAAAAAAAAACTGTAAATACTAATAACGAGTAAAATCGTCCTTAAATCGGACTCTACTAAAAATATACACGACCCTCTTTATCTCGCCACTCCCTCGACCTTTAACCACTAAAATTTAATAGAATCAATTCCTCTAATACACAACCTCCCTGACAAATTTCATAAATTTTTGACAAAAAGCACAGGAGTTTTTAAGCTTTAAAAAGGGTGAAAAAAATCGTGCAACACATTTTATATTCCAATGGAATGATTTGGTTTGATTTGACTAGATAAAGCAACAGATGGACGATCTATCAAGGAGGTTACTTCCCAACAGGACTTACTATGAAAACTGGCCTCTACTTAGGTGTTAGATCAGATCAAACTTTTTCTAAATTAAATAAACAATCCCTTATTAAATTTTGTTTATTTGGGACTATTCAAATATTACGTAAGTTGTGTGGTGTGGCAGGATTCGTTTGTATTTAACGATTGCGGGAAGAGAAGGGAAGTCTTTGATGACGTAAGACTACACCCCTCGTTTATCTTTCTCTCCAGTCATCACAAAATTATCTGAAAATAATTTCCTTGTTTTTGCGAGTGATTTAAACTTCTGTCCACGCAGCCAGCCTACGAACCTACGACCAGTTAAAATTTAGTGTGTTATAGATAATTTACGACTTGTATTCGCAAGTATAAGTATAGATAATGTATTTTCTTTGCAAAATTGTAACAATTAGTTATAAAATAAGAAATCAATTTAGTTTTATAATGGACAAAAATGTTTTCTCTAGCTAAACAGCATAGAATTGCTTTTTAGAATTATGACTAGGTCAGTTTGCACATGAGAGATATATGGGCCTCAGTTCCTCATTACCCGGTCCCCAGTTGTGAATCTGACTTAATCCACAATAGGCACGAAAAAAGCCCTCTTAGTGCCCACAGGGTGGAAAGAGTTGAAAGGAGGCTTCACAGGTCGCGGGTTCGCGCCTCACTAACGTGGAATTTTCCTGGTTTCTTTGTGTCTAACACCTAAAGGGAACTATTTTTCCACTAAAGCCCTACTGGAAAGCATACTGTTGAGAGATCGTCTGTATGATATGTTGTTTTAACTCATCAAACCAAATCTAAAGGCTTAACATTCATCTAAAGAGCTTATATTTATTTATTTTTAATCATTTAATATATACTTAGAAAATAAAATTACCTTACAGACAATTCGTTATCGCCCACAAAATAATTACTTTATTTATAAAACATTAATCCGCATCATTTCATAAATCAATTATTTTAATTTAAATACATATAAATTACGTAAGAAAAAAACACTTTATTTTCTTAAAATTACCTAAGAAATTAATTACTTTATTACCTTCTCATCTATCTCCTTCATATTTCCTGTTATAAAATGAGGTGGTGGTCCAGGAACGCCAATTCTTTTAAAATATGTCATTCGTTGTCTTTGCTTCCTGAAATAAAAATTTTCATGTTTAAAAGTCGAATTTAATTTCAAATAATTATTAAAGTAGGCATTTATTAACATACCTAAACCATGAAGCAAATATCAAAAGCAGAACAGTAGAAATTAATATAATAATAATTTCCATATTTGTAACAGTACTTGGTAGGAAGAAATGCAGTAAACATCTATTCAAGTACAGTACATGTGACTTGTGTCCTCTTAGTCAAGGTCAATGGCTTATTTTTTATATAAAAAGTTCAATTGGATAAGATAAATCAATGTATATACCTTTACCTACATTTTACTAATATCTTAAAACTTGATAATTAGTTACATTTTAACAATAATTTATTATTATTTTTTCATATATAAGCTACTTTAATTTTGAAGAGTTACTGTGAATTGACAAAGGATGAATGATAGGTGCCCTTTTTATAGCGTCGATGGACCAAAAGAGAATAATATAGATCGATTGGAAGGATGACAAATAGCAATGGTTCCGCTTGAAAGATAAGGTAAGAAACGACGTCAGAACTTCCTCATTCACTTAGGATAAAAAAAAAGATTATTGAATTTTTGATTATTCCCTATAATGATAGTGGACAAAACACCCAATAAAATCCCGAAGTTTTTCTCTTCTTTCTTCCTCCCTTTTATTCAAAAATAAAAAAATAAAAAATGTACAACGATATGAGCTTAAAACTTCGATAAAATAAATCACTAAAAATTAAACTGGATTAAATTGTAAAATAAATCACTAAAAAATTCGATAAAATAAATCACTAAAAATTAAACTGGATGAAAAAAATTATAGACCAATAAATTCCAACTGTCGCCTGTCTGTTGGTCTGTCTGTCTGTCCTTCCTTAATCTCGAGAATTGAATTAGATAGATTAAAATCTGAACCATTCATGGAAAGGTTAGGTAAAGATGACCCCGATTAACTATATAAAAATTACCGGTTTTAAATTACGGGATTTTTAATTCCTGTATCACGCGTTTAAAATGGCGTAAAAGTTCGTAAATCAAATGGTTAAAATTAAAATTTCAAATGGATATCGGTGATTGGCTGAAGAAGGAAAACGAAACGGTAATACATTTGAATTTTGAAATGTTAATGACTTGATTAGTCAAATGTTCATTTCTTTGACCAATCATAGTTGATTTATTCATCTAATAGCCACACCTATTTGTATTTCACGTATGCTTCGTCCAATCATCTGATGGGGCGTTGCTTTTTTTTTGTATTAAACTCTTCTGTAAGTACTTAACTGAAAAATTTCAGTAAGAAAAAAATAGATATTTAACACCGAATTTCTTGAAATTTCCATTTATCCCTCGTTTATTAAATGAATATTTAATGTGTAAAAAGTAAACTAGCTTATTCTGAGCACGTAAATATTAATATTACATTTAAAATTCATTAAAATAATATATTTTGTGAGAAGAAACCATTAGAAAAAGCATGTTTCGACTATATTAATTAAGTAGTTGGGTCGAGTCGCATCACAGAAGCACGAATCTTACTACTCGTAATAATAACAAGAATAATAATTAATGTTTTAGAATATAATAACGCTAAAAAATGTAATTGCAAAATCTCGGCGCGTCGCATTGTGTCGCGTCGAGTCGCGTCGCACCGAAATTCTACAATTACTTTTTTTTTGTTTTGTTTTTGTAATTCTATTAGCAATACGAAATGATGTAAATATTTTTAAAAATATTTTATTTCGTGAATTTTTATACACTCATTTACCTTTTTATTTTTCTAGTTTATCTTGTAATAAATATATTAATTTTTTAAATCAGAAAAGTACGTTTCGTCTATCGCCGCCATTTTAAATAAGCGCGCGATGCAACGCGTCGCTTAACTTCTCTCACACTTTTTTTTTTAAATAAAGAAGGATTTGTATTATGAATAAAATAAATAATGCAAATTTTAAAATAACTTGAGTTATAATGAGGGATGTTTTTCTTGATGATAAGTGTATTAATAATTTTTATAGTAAAATCGAATTTAAAGTCGAGTGTAAAACTGTTTTATACGCGCGCGACGAAATTTTATCGTAAACAAGGCGAGTCGCGACCGTTCGCGTACAGTACATAAGCGCCTTACTACTTAACACTAAATAATTCACTTAGTATAAGACATTATCAAATTAATTACAATAAAGTAACTAAAGGTTTTTTTTGTTTGTTTTATCCGCGCGTTATGCGAAGTAAACGCTTAAACGCGCGTCATCACGCATCAGTGACGCGTCAAAGTCAAGCGATGCGATGCGTACGAAGCGTTTTATTTTTCTCAAGATGATATCTAAATTCTCTTCTAAAAAGCCGAATAAAAATGATTTTTTTGTGNATAAATTTTTAAGAATTTATTAAATTAAATTTATTTAATAATAGAATTTTGCTCAATTTATTATTATTCACTAGATATATTTTTAATAAGTTTATTTGGTCAATATAAAGTCTCGTTTTTAATGCAAAAATCGATATAAATTCTGAAATGTCTGTGAATAATGTGTTCATTTTATGTAAATTGAAATTAATTTTTGGAAAAAATCAAATAAATCTTTAAAGATAACATTGTTAAAATCATATTCAAGATTTATATGGGGCAGTACATTAATTACGTGTACAACAGTTCATAGATCCTCCCCAACATTAAAAATATGACTATTCTGATTCATATGACTAGTATAATAGCTTATAATAAATTCGTATGCCACTGATATCAATAAAAAATGCCACATACACAATGTTTCGACTCCCTCCATCCATCGTGTACACTGACGTAATTTTTGCCCTCTCTCTTAAATCATACACACAATTAATGTAGGGCCCCATTGAATAATATTAGATCTTTTAAATGTTTCAAGAAGGTAAACTACCTGATCCCCTTGAGACACTCACTATATTCAACTAAATAAATACAGAAGAAATACAATAGAATAAATATATAACAAATAAATATTTGTTATATATTTATTCCCACAAATGTGCCAAATGATTCAGTTCATATCACCATGAGCAGAAGCCCAGAGGAGGCAAAAGAAAACTTTTTTGGGTCCCTTTACAGTATTTTTTCATTTAATTCCTTTACTATAAATTAATTTGCTGCAGGACCACAATATATATTTTACCTCAGGCCATCGTTACTCTGTGAGCAGTTCTGGCTATGAAATGATTTGCGAATGTATAGGTACTGTACTATACACTAAATCCTGTGATTATAATCTCGATCCATTTTTGTGAAAATGATAATAAAATCAATTGTTTGCAAGTTGTGTGAAGCATGCTGACTCAAGAAAAGAGAAGCGACATGATTTGCAATTGAATCGATTAACATACATGAAAGTACCATCAAATCTTCCTGTTCCATAGTCTTCAAGAGATCGGAACATATCACTTGTAGGCGACATAGTCCTTCTTCCATCCTCCAGTTTATGCAATATTTGAACACGTTATGTACGTTTCATGAGTTTCTAATGGAGGACCATTAGAAACTCATGAAATGTACAGTACGTAACTCTTTACAGTGAGCATCCTGTTCAGTTTTCTGGCTGATGACAAACTGTGTGTTATTGCAGTTTCTACAAGTTGAACCGTTTCTTGCGATATGGTGGATCATCTTGTACATTACCCGCTCACCTGAATTTGTTAACGAAATTTGATATTGGTCCTGGTGGGTGCAGACTTTTTGAATTTCTAGGTAAAGTTTGTCAGTACTTTCGCGTCACGTACATCAATCTACTGAAATATGCACAAATCGCAGTGAATCTCTCCTAGCATGTTTCACACGACCTGAAAACAAATCATCGTGTATAAGTTTCATTTACATAGTATTTACGAAATGCACGATGAAAGATTATCAGTTACCATTACATACTCTAATTAGATTAGGAGTCAGAATGCGTTAATAAAATAAATAATTATTTTAAATTAACAGCGTTGATTGGCTATGCGTGAGATATAATTTTTAGGAAAAACTTATTTAAATTAATGTAAAAATTTTAGTTAAAAAAAGTTAAGAGAAATAAATTTTAAAAGGTAAAATAGAACAGCACTGTAACGAAACCGGATGTATCGCCATTATCATCGTTCAGAACAGAGGTAAAAAATCCAGATCTGCTTCAGAAACTGGAACTGTTGAAACTGGTCGAGTGCGGAATTGTTCAGTCGAAATTGCTTAGTCTGTTGGACTAGACCAGTCGGACCTTCGTCGGTTTTATATGTATAATAGAATATTTGTATCTTTTTTATTTCTATTATTAGGTTTTTTGGTCGATCGGCTCCAAATTATTCTTGCTTAACTTGGACTCAGGAAAATATAGACTAACATGAAACCTGACCATTTTACCTCCCGATTTCATCCCTATTATTTACGCCTAAACCCCTTTGTCCGATATGCACCAAATTTATCACAGTTATTCTCTGGGATTGACAAAAATATAAACTAACATGAAATATGGATACCCTAGTCTTCGCCGAATTCTAATAAAAATATACATTTTTAAAATTTAACTTAAGGAGATGGAATAGATCCTCAGCAGGACAAACAGTTTAACAAAAACCTAGTTTATACCGGAGCCATTAAAAAATTATTGGCGAAACGGATTGAGGCGCATATATATTCTTTTTAAAAAGGATCTTTTCTCCACCACCCTAAGTTTTTAGGCGAGTGAAAATGACATTGAGGTATCCAATGACCACGCTCGCATTATACATCCCAGCTCCGATTGGTCCAACTTAAAATATCTAGAAAGGTAGAAATTTTCAAGGCCTCCTTTCAGGCATTCCCACAAATAAAAGTCAAATGTGCTGACACCAGAAAAATGTGGTGCCACAAGACCTTGGATTCTCCACATTAACTGATCACCGTGTTTCAAATTTACTTTTAGAGGAACCACCCAGTATATTAAAAATAAAATCCTCCATATACAGTGGAACCCCGGTTAACGAACGTCCTGGCTAACGACCAAATCGATTAACGAACTATTATTTTGCAAAAATTTTGTCTCGGATAACGAACAAAATTTGGATAACGAACTTAACGGCTTTTTGTGTCAAATTTGTAAGCTTGCCGACTTTTAGGGGAAATCAGTTAATCGTGTGTCGGTGATGGTCTAGGGTCCATTCGTACGTTGGTGATGGCGGAGGAGACAAAGATGACAAGTATTTTATAGTGAAAATCGTTTA